AAGCGAAGCTGCAGTGGGAAAGATGATTGTTGGGTGGAGGGGCGATGCATGCACACTTCCAGGTTTCATCGCTTGGTGGTGAGCGGTTGGGCTCGGTACCAAACCCCACCACGTTTTCTGAAGCTTGACCTCAAAGTTTGGTCTAGGGTGAAGAACTCACCCTTCTCTCTTGTCTAGTTTAGAGATGGGGAAGGGGGATTTTGCTCTAGTTGAGATGTCCTGGTGAAAGATGAAGGAAAGACCCCAAGAGCTGGAAGGTTCCCAGAGAGGGAACCTCTGGGCATGATGCTATGAACATCTAGACTTCTCTGCCAGCGAGGTCCTTGTCCTTTACACCATCCTGGCTGGGTCCACGACTTGAGAATCCATCCAGCATGATGTCCTGGGCTCAGCAACCCCAGGAGCACCAGCCAGGGTATTAAAATATGGGAACTGAAGCAAGTTTGAGCATCAAGAGCACAATTTTCTCAGCATCACTGTCCAACGGCATGATAACCCCTGGAAAAGGTCTTTTACTGGCGAGGGCTCATTATTTCACCAAGAAACAGCCCCAAAGACACAGTTTACCGAGATATTGAGCCCAGTGGGCAGGAGAGATCCATCCCTCTGCTTTCAACAAAGACTTTTAGGAGGGAGACAGGATGACCCAGATTATCCCCACGAGGGACAGCAGTTATCGTCCCCTTTGGCAGGCTGGGCAGAGCGGCCAGGGCCGGCTGAGCCAGCAGAATGAGCTGCTGGGAGACCGCTGGGCTTTGGTCCTCTGCCTTTTGCTGCAGAGATTTCGGGGAATTTAAGGCGATGCCCCTCGTCGGCCGATGCCCGGGGTCCGTCCAGGGTGACACTGCGCCGCATGCAGCCCTGATGCTGCTTTTTAATGACCAGGATGAAAACTGGGAGCTCCACAACCCCTTAACTTGTGAACTTTGGGTAAGAAGAGAAGCCGTTCCAGAGGTGAGCTCATTTCTAACCCTGGGAAATGATTTCATGGACGCTGGTATTTACTCACAAAAACACTGCATGTCAGATGTCCCTGACTAGACTTTCTGTTTCGAGTCCAGTATGAGACAAAAATTTCCTTGGACGAGCTGCTCCAGAGACAATTCAAGGCTTGGAGGAGGAGAAGAATAAGGGGGGTGTGGGGGAGGGGGGGGATGCGGAATAAATCAGCATTAAAAACTCTGGAATCATGAAGTTTTTCTGAGCAAAGGGGAATTTTTGGACAGCCAGCCTGGCAGAAGCACCTGCCCTGGGGTGATGGTGCTGGGGGCGCGGGTGCAAGCGATGGGTGCTGCTGCAGGATGGCTCTGCTCTGACAAGAGCCGTCACTACCCCCCTGTAATGTCCAGCAGCAGGAGCTTCTCTTGGAGGTGAAAAGACAAGGATTTTCTTCTCTTTTGTGAAGCCAGGATGCCGGCGGTGATTTATTCGGATAAACGGCAGCAGGGTCCCTGCCTGCGGTTGCACTCGGTTAATGGAAATTATAGCCCGTGTCGCTTTCCCTGCATGAGATCCCAATTTATACGGGATGTCCGATGGAAAAACACCCAGCTTGTACTTCTCTTCAGGGTCTGCTTGTGTGAAAAAATTGCCACTGGGGCTGTGCTACTTGCTGTGGCTTTCTGGTTTCTGTTTTCTTCAGCATTTTGGGATGATCTGTATGGATTTGGGGAGAAAAGTCTCATTTTGGGGAGCCTGGAGATGCTCTGACTCCCTATGACCCAGTGCTGGGGCGGCATCCCAAAAGGAGGGGATTTCGGAAAGAGCTGAGCCGAGGTGTATGGAAACAAGCTCTGCCTGCCAGTGCTTTTTCCTAATCCCAGGGACCAAAAAAACCCCTCTGATGGTTCAACCAGTGTTCAGAGCTTCAGCTGAAGGCTGCTGAGCAGACAACATCCAGGCTTGACCTTTGAAAAAAAAGGAAAACACAAGGGGGTTACTGTGCAAAGGCTGGAGAAAAATAGTCATTTTACTAAAGGGACCCCACCCTTAAAACAAGACTTATTGCTAATGCGTGCCCAGGACATTTCTGCGTGATGGCATGCGAAAAAAATCCTCTCTGAACAAGGACCAAAGGCTTTGTTGTGGCATGAGTGAGGCTTACAGTTCCCCGGAAAAATCCTGTCCTTCTCTCGCATCGTACGGTCGGGGATGGAGAGGACATTTCTAGACAAAAAGGCAGCTGGCCAGGAAGGAGGACGAACAGGGAATACATTCCCGAGTCGCTATTTAATTGCTTTACGTGCAGGTGCAAAGAGTGAAATGAAAGGAAAAATAAGGGTGAGCATGTGGGGTCGAATGAATGTCGGCGTTAAGCAGGAGTCTCACGCCAGGAGGAGGTGGCCGCTGGAATAAACAGGCTTCCACCCAACTTCTTTGTGGGTTTTGTGCTTTTTTTCTGCCCTCCCAGGGACCAGGCTCGTTCCTGCCGTGCCGGTGGGTGATGCCCCTGCCAGTAAGGAGGTGATGGGGACAGTCCCCTCCTGCTGTCAGCACCAGGGGTGTGTCTGCTCTTCTCCTTCCCCTCGGATGTAAAGTGCTTTGAGTTCATAAATTGCTCTTTGCGGCTCTGAGAAGAAAGTTTCCAGCCCGATCCCTTTCGGCAGTTAAATGCAGAAGTGATGGAGACTTTGGGATGGACGGTGATGCCTCAAGGGCTGACGTGGTCCAGCACCTGTGGCATCTCCTGCATCTCAGGAAGCCTGTCTCTCCACTGCATAATTCAACTTTTAAACCCACAAAAGGGGAAAAAGTCCTTTGTCGCTTGTCCCCAGGAGCGCTCCCGCCAGCAGAGCAACCTCAGAGATGGTGCAACCCCCCCTGAGCTCGGGCATTTCCTCCCCAAAATAAATAGAAATAGATTTAATGATAGAAAACCTCCTACCCCAGAAAGAGAACCTCTTTGTCCCTCCCCAGGGTGTCGTGCCGCACCTCGAGCTTTCATCGCGTTACGCTGAAAGAAATAAAAAAAAAACAAGGTGGGAATTGATAGAGCGCAGGAAAAGAAATGGGGATTCATTAAAACAGCCAAATGACCCAAGTTTCTCCTTACTAATTCCTTCCTTACAGCATTTCCAGTCCAGGCACTTACCTGTGTGCATCCGTGATGCTCCCATGGACCTGGGTGGTCCAGGAGCATCGCCGGGGCGTGTGTGTGTGCTGCGAGTCTCCGGTTGTCTGAGCAACGGGATCTTCATCACTAACTCCAGGGATAATTAACTCATTTTCCTGTATTTATAGAAAACCGATGCGGGGAGCGTTGGCACTTATCCCTGACGGGGCCACATTCGGCCACAAACGTCTTGAATTTTGGCCGTTTCTCGCAATACGGCGGCTTTGTCATCAGCCTGGCTGCCTGCTCATTAAGCCTAAATTGGGCAGCTCGTTAAGCCCGTAAGGACAAGGGGGTGTCAGCCCCTGCCTGGGGGTGAAACCCAGGCAGCTGCCCCCGCCGGGCTGCCCGTGGGTGCCCCCCTCCGCGTGCCCCCCTCCTGCTTTGCCGGTGCGGGGGATGCTTGCATCAGCGCTGCCGCCTCCAGACGCCGGCGTACGCATCCGCAGGAACACCGGAGCTCCCGCTCGGCTCCCAGCAAAGGGATATTTCACTCTTTCAAGGGGTTCGTTGCAGGATGTGATGCAAAGACACGCCGGAGCGTCCTGACTCGGCACCGCGGCGGTGGGAGACCCGCGGGGCAAAACAAGGAGCGTTTTGGCATCGGGGCGTGCGTATGCCAGGTACGTTCCCATCACCTGGGACGAATCCAGACCTCGACACAAGCTTCCCCTTGTTTCTCCCAACATGCAGCTCGGTACTTTTTAACTCCTTTTTCTTTTCGCTGCCTGCTGTTGGCTTGTTAGTCTTTGGGGAGGGAGGGGGGCGAAGGCAGGAAGGGGGCTCGTTCTCAGGGGTTCGGGGTGCAGGTGGTGGGGCTGGAAGGAGGTGGCTTGTTGCAAGGTATTGGCATCTCCATGCTGCAGAGCGGGGGAGACAGGTTTGATCTCTGCTGCTCGTGTCATTCGTGCAGAGATGGGGAATTCTTTATTTTGGTAGCAGCAAAGCAGAAGGTGCTCGAAATGGTAAGAGACCTACACTACCTGTGGTGGGGCTGTCAACAGCTGGTGTCCCTCCAAGTTGGAAGTATTTGCCCTTGACACATGAATCGTCCCCAAGTTGGTTGTGTTCTGGCAAAAAGGGAAATTAAATCCAGCCATAGGGGATTTATGCTGCTGCTCAGCACCCCCCAGCCACCCCTGTGTGAGTGGTTCTACCTTGTCCTCCTCCTGCTTCACCTCCCAAAGGCAAACGGATAGAGGTGCCGAGGTGGTGCTGCCCGAATCCTGGGAAGGTCCAGGCTCCTAAATGCCACTGTGAGCCTCTCTGGAGAGCCATGGTCAGTCCCCAGAGAGCATGGGATCCCCCTTCTGCCCTCTCGGCCACCCCCAGGTGCTCCCACCCACAGCCCCGGATCTGGCACTGGAGATGGAGGTGGCCCGTTAAGGTTTAACACACTAACGGAAGATGCCATGGGGTTTCTAAAAAGCTGAGCCCTGCTTGGAAAGCCCCTTTGGAATGGCGAGTCCTTGAACTGAGCTGCCCTGGCACAGGCTCTGCCAGCTCTGGTGTGACCCATTCCCAGCCAGATGCTGGTGGGCAGTGGCTCATCCCATGGTCCTGGCCACCGCTCCCGCTTCCCAGCTGCTCAACCGCCTCGCGGAGAGCTAAAAATATACGTCTGTGTGAGCGATCACTATAGCTACGGCAGGGGTCAGCCAGAGAGGGCAGCTGGGCAGCATCACCATGACCAGGAGGTGTGGCGGCTCAGCAAAACGGGCAACATGGAGGGGACAGGCAGGGACAGGTCAGGACTGGCAGGTTCCCGCTGGTGCCTCCGGTGCAGATCCCATCATCTCCCCGTTTCTCGGTGTATCGAAGCTGGAGCACGCCACAGCCCCTGAGAGGGGGTTCACTTTGCTCTCTACCACTGGCATTTCGGCAGGGGATGAGTGACCAGCAGCTCCCTGCATCTCCCCACCGCCCCACCACCGAGGAGGACGCCAACGTCTCAGCCTCTGGCTGCCCCGAGCGCTGGGTCGAGCCCCGGTTCACGCAAGCGGCGAGGGTCCGCGTGATCGTCACGGCCGTCTTCTTCTTGCTGGCGGCAGGCAGCAACGCGGCGGTGCTCGGCAGCTTGCTGAAGAAGAGGAGGAAGTCCCATGTGCGGCCACTGATCCTCAGCCTGGCGCTGGCCGACCTGCTGGTGACGGTGGTGGTGATGCCCCTGGACGCAGCGTGGAATGTGACGGTGCAGTGGTACGGAGGAGATGTCTCCTGCAAGCTCCTCAACTTCCTCAAGCTTTTTGCCATGTATGCAGCCGCCCTGGTGCTGGTGGTCATCAGCCTGGACCGACACGCAGCCGTCCTCCATCCCTTCTCCCGTGCTCGCCGCCGCAACGGGCTGCTGCTCCGTGCCGCCTGGGCTGGCAGCGTGCTCCTGGCTTCGCCCCCCGTAGGGGTCGCTTTTTTTTGGTTTGCCCAGGCTGGGGTGGTTTTGGAGATGGGCTTCTCTATCCCGACAGCCCCAACAAGTCCATCCCGATCCATGTGCTCCACCACCACCGGCTTGGTTTGCTGAGCGAAGCAGTGTGGTTGCTGCCTTGGGTGCTCAGCACCTTCCCTGTAGCACCCATTCAGTGCAACACCATAAGGGTGTTATGCTGAGGCCTGGAAAAATCCTGTGTCCACTAATTTTTAGTCCCCATGCACATGATTATCTCCTAAAAATGCATCACAGCACCACTGCAAAACATGTTGGAGCAGACCAAGACAAACCTGAGCAGTTCCTGACCAAAATAACATTTGGTATGGTCCGAAAATGGGATTTCACAGCTGTCAGATCCCATCCACCCTGGCCACGGCCATGAGTTAGGTGCCCAGAGCACCTCTCCCAGCCCAACAGCAACACGGAGGTGCTCTCCATGCACAGCCAGGAGCATCTGCAAGACATGGTGCTCTGTTCCAAAGCCTCTCTGAGTTATTATCTGGTTCTCCATTTCAGCTTTTCCTCTTCCACCTGCACACAGTCCCAGGAGGGAACTTCACCCAGTGTGTTACTCACGGGAGCTTCCGAGCACACTGGGAGGAAACCGTCTACAACATGTTCACCTTCACCACCCTCTACATCACCCCCCTGAGTGTCATGATCGTTTGCTACATCAGGATCATCTGGGAGATCAGTAAGCAGCTAAAGATCAATAAAGGTAAGCAGGTCCCAGTCCTTTAGTGTCCACCATGACTCTATGACAACCTGCTTCAGTCTGGAGCATTGTTGGGTCTATCCCAACACCTTTAATCCAACTAAGAGGTTTTATACAAACTTCTTGATGCCCTTCCTTGCTGTCTTCTTCCTCCTGTGAACCATGGACCAGATCTTGAGATGGTCTCGCCTCTCTGGCAGAAGCAGTTATGGATAGTTATGTTCTCCTGGTTTTCTCCCATCTCCTTCTATCCTTTTGATTCTCTCTGGCAGGTTTGCTAAGAAATCACAACAACCACATCTCCAAGGCACGCATGAAGACCCTCAAGATGACCATAGTGATTGTTGCCACCTTCATCATCTGTTGGACCCCATACTACCTCCTGGGCTTGTGGTACTGGTTCCAGCCAGCCATGATCCAGAAGATGCCAGAGTACATCAACCACAGCTTCTTTCTCTTTGGCTTGCTGCACACCTGCACCGACCCTGTTATTTATGGACTGTACACCCCCTCCTTTCGGGAGGACATGCAGTTGTGTCTCAGGGGCATCAAAACAGCCATTACCAGGCACGAGAGACACAAACCCGTCCCAGTCTCAGAACTGGGAAGAGAAGAGAACATCAAAGATGGTGCTGTAAATGGTGGGGTGACATCAGGGGGTTCCAATGGGACGACTGTGAACACTGTCTGCTGAAGAGACATACCCCCAAGGAGATGGGAGGCACAGCTTTGGAGGCTGCTTAGTCCCATGGGATCATCCTGGAGACTGTCATAAGAAGGTTTGCCACCCAACTTTGGTGAGTGAGGGTCTCTGGCCAGAAACTGGGAGTGTGTCTCCTGCCTGTACTCAGGGTGAAAAACATTTGGGAGTATTTAAGGTCATTCTTCCATATCCTGGCAGCCCCGTGACAACCAGAAGATGGTCCTTTCTGTACCCTAGGCGTGCTCTAGCCCTGATTCTGGGATCAAGCATCTGCCACACTTCAGCATCAACCCTTGGGAGGAGACACGCTGGCTCCTCCACGGTCCAGGGCCACGTGTCTCAGGGTGGCCAGTCTGTAAGTGCCCTTTGCACCTACACTGAAGCATGGAGCTGCACAGATGCACAGCGCTGCGTGGTGTCACCCTGATAGGCTGCAGAGGTGCCATCACAGGCTTTTACTCCATTTCCTCCACCCGCTGTAGGAAAGGCTCTGGAAAGTTTTGCTCTCCTGGCTCAGAGCCCACCTGGTTAACCCATGGCCATGTGTGAAGCCCTGGGAAGGATGTAAATCTTTGGGGAGCAACTAATGCAGGGCCATTGCTCCCTGTGGGAGGCCTTCATGGTGGGGAGGGAGAAGGTGCTGTGGGGATGGAGGAGCTTAGGCAAGAGGGGTATGATGAACCACAGTGGGATAGAGTGGGATGGGATAGAGTGGGATGGGATAGAGTGGGATGGGATAGAGTGGGATGGGATGGGATGGGATGGGACGGGACGGGACGGGATGGGACGGGACAGGACAGGGTTCCTTCTGCTTTTTGGACATAGCCATAAGTGAAAACGGTCCCTGCTGCCTTGTTCTGGCATGCAGGGGTGGTAGGAACACATCCTTACGTAGCAGCTGTCTGGGACACAGGGTTGACCAGGAGAGAAACTATTTGGGGAAACTGGAGAGTGAAGACCAGCCCTGACACTATCAGCCCCTCTTGACTGTCTCTGTCCCCATGTCCCAGGGCACAAGCTGGCAGGTCACAGACCATGCGCTGGGCTGTCCCCATACATGCTTTGCCCTATGGACTGGACCCAATGCCAGCACCTTGTCTCTGCCCCGAGCAGGGTGGGTGTGGCCACCCCACAGGTGATGCTCAAGGTGTCCCAATGAGGAAGGTGATGGGAAACACCTGTGGGTGGGTGGGGCCCATCAGCACTCATAGGTGCCAGCTGGGTGTTGATGGTCCTTGGCTGCACTATGAGGGAGGCTGCTGGAGGGGACTGGCTGGGCTGTGGTGAGTAGAATGGATTTTTTTGCTTTACATCGATGTGCCGGAACTTGCTTGTGAAGGTGGAGGCCTCTGCTCTGGGTGTGGATTGAAGAGGTGGCTTTGTTCAGCTGTGTTGTTCCCTTATATGTAATTAGAAATAGTGGACTATTTATTTGTTTGTTCTCTGCTGATTGTTGTTAAACGCATTTTTTGCTTTTGAAGAGACATTGAGTTTTGAGCCAGGTGCGTTTGGTATTTTTTTGGTTTTGTGAAATCTTTGGGCAGCTCAGGAGCTTTGGGCTTGGCAGGAGGCTGTTCTTTGGGCGTTTTTGCGGCCACTGCAGCTTTGAATGAGCATCTGGGCTTTATCAGGGTGAAAGAGCTTTTTTTAAAAAACAACTCTTGACTTGCTGTGGTTGCGTGCATAGGGAAGCTGGGAGATGTCTCCTAAGAAAGCAAATCTCCTTTGGGCAGTGATGGGGCTTTCTTGACTCTGTCTCCAAGAGGGGATGGACCTCTGTGGGTCAGAAAGGATTTGGACTGGTCTCCTAGTGCCCCAGCTAACAAATTATTAAAACTAGAGAGGTGGCAAGTGGTGTTTGCAGGTTGACTGAGGCTGGGCAGTGAGGATATGGGAAGTCACCCCATCGGGGTGATGCCAAGCTGTGGATGGGTGTTGAACTTTTACCTTCCTCGATGCTGACTATCATTTACGCTAAACGTGCTGCCCAAGGAGAAAAAAAAATCAATTAGGGCTGCAGGAGCCCAGACTGGCCAGTGGGGATTAGCGTGAGCCCTTTAGGAAGCATCCAAGCTCCAATGAGATGCGTAGTCACCGTTTGGCTTTCCTGGGCTCGTTCTGCTCAAGGTTAATTACACAACGCTAACGGGAGCGGGGCTCGCTGCTGCCAGGCTGGCTCGGCTCGACCATTGCAAAAAAAAGAGTTTCTTGTAAGGTGATGGGAACAACTTGTGGTAGCAGAAGCTAATTCATTCGTCGGCCGCTCATTTGGCCCCTGTGTTTGTATTACTGAAGATCGCTGACGGGAGGCAGACCTTGAAGATGTGTTGGTTTTCTGGCAAGCCTCAAATAAGCAGGAAAGTGTCTTTAATCTCCTAAAAACATTCGTCTGCTTTCTGCTGAGTGGGAGAGAACAGGTCCAGCTTTGCTTTCTCACTTAAGACCACTCCTCTCCTCTTGTACAGCAGTAGAAGACTTGGAGACCTCCTCTGAGGAGCAAGAGGCATTTTTTCCCTTGTGGGAGGAACCCATTACCTTTACACCCCATGGGTACATTGAAAGGGGAGAAGCAAGTTTTGCTTTAGGTGAAGAGTAGGAAAATCAGGATGCTGGCTAGGATAGACACCTTGATCCTCGGGGAAAGCGTGGCACATACCTTGGGATGCTTGCAGGTGCTCCAGCACCGCTCCTTCTGCCCACGTCTTCATACCTTGCCTCCTGTTGCTGCTGTTCAAGGCTGACATTTTGGGAAGCCCGGAGCGTGGGCAAGGTGCCCAAAGTGACAGCTTTCACGATAGAAGGAAAATGTCACTGGAAGAGCG